TTCTTTCTCCCCCCCTTTTCTTTCTCTCTCCCTCTCCTCTCTCTTCCTTCTCTCTCCACTCCCTCCTTCCTCACTTTCTCTCTGTTTCTCGCTCTCTCCTCTTCCCTCTATATCTCTCTCCCCCATCTTGGCTCTCTCTCTCTTTCTTCTTCATATTACTTCATGTTCTCTGTTTTTAAAAGAATTTAAGTCATGGAACTTTTTAGGGATCTCTATTTCTAGTACTAAAGACTTAGAGGCGAGGGGGATCTGTGTGCTGTTACTCTCTGGTGTCATCTGTAGGGTTCTGTACTCTCCTTTTAGCCTAAACTTGCGCAAATTCAGACAGCGTGACAGTTTATTGGTTTCCACACACATTTCCAGCATACAAGACCTGCGCTGGCCTCTGAAGTCATGTCCTTTTGGGCACTGGTTCATATGTACAAGGCTGCAAGATTTTAGGGGCAGCGGGAGGGATGGAGCATGGCTCCAAATATTTTTTGCAGCCGTAGATTTATCTTGTGTTGTGACTTTTCTGTGTTTCTTTTAGTGTATTATCAGATAGAAGTTCTCTGCGCCTGGCATCTGGGATTGTCAATACAGAGCTGGACGTCAACGTACAGCGCACTTTAGAAGACAGCCTAGCGACGGAGGCGTACGAGAGGCGGATACGGCGCCTGGAGCAGGAAAAGTTGGAGCTCAGCAGGAAGTTGCAAGGTGCTTTGCCAGATCTGCACAGCTGCCCAAAAACTTTACAAGTGTATCTCTGTGAAAAATAAAAAAAACATTCAGTACATCTCTGCAGTACAAGAACATTTCCACATGTTTTGTCTCTTTAAAGTGACACTAAACTCTGGAGTTAAATCCTAAAAATACATTCAAGTAACTTAACTATTGACACAAATGTATCTTATTTGTGTGTCACTCGGCTGTAGATCCTCAAATCATCTCTCAGTTGGTACTGACACTGCCCTTCCTTCTGGAGGGTGACTACTATTGTTCCCCATGGTCCGTATGCGTGTTGTAAAGTAGTCACCGCTCCAAGCTCGCTCCTGTGATGGACTACAATCTCATGTTTAGTTTACTAATTTGTATTGAGATTGTAGTCCATCACAGGAGTGAGCTTGAAGCGGTGACTACTTTATAACACACACAGGGACCATGGGGAACAAAAGTAGCCACCCTCCAGAAGGAAGGACAGTGTCCGCACCAATTCAGAGATGATTGGAGGATCTACAGCTGAGTGACACACAAATAACTCTGCCTGGGATTTAAGTGCAGCAGAGGCAGCGTTGTAAGCTCACTACAAGAAGTTGTAGTGAGAAGAAGCAGGGTCATCGGATATTTTTTGTACTGCTACCTCATATGTAGATACATTAATAAAATCCTGGCAAATGTTTTGAAGCTGAACCCTGGGATAAGCATTTTTTTATTTTATTACAAGAGTCATGTGTATTCTTCCTGAAATCTTGGTGAGTTTTGTGTATTTCTTCCAGATCTGGGCAGTAATCCAGTGTGACACTTGGAGCTTCCTGTAATAAAGACCGCTCACTGCTGCTCTCTGTCCCTGTGCCGGGTGACTGGTCTTGTCTCCGCCCTCTCCTTTAGTTTTCTGCAGGCAGCCTGAAGTGGGTGCGGTCTGCTGGGCCCCCACCACAGCTCTGCTCTCTGTACAGGCCATGTGCAGCACAGTGATGATGTCATGCTACATTTACAAGTTCATATCTGGGTCTGCACAGCCATTTGGCGCTCAGAAACTGGGTTCATACCCTTTGTGGCTATTGAGGAATGTAGTCAAATGGAAGTGTTTGTGCCCGGATTTCAACTTTAACTTTTTCCCACCCTATCCAAAAATTAGGGTTTTATCAATGAAAAGTGTTTGAAAATGTAGAAAAATATCTAAATTGATGAACTAAGCCAAATGACCTCGCTGTCTCTCTCCTCTTTTTTTTTTTTTTTCTTTCCCAGAATCCACCCAGACTGTGCAGGCTCTTCAACACCCCACTGTGGATGGCCCGGTCACCGCCAATAAGGACTTGGAAATCAAATCATTGAAGGAAGAGATAGACAAGCTGAGGACACAAGGTACACACATCCTGCGTCTGTGGTCAGGCGGTGTGGTATACAATACAAATGTAAGGGATGGTGAAAGGATAAAAGCACCAATCCACTGTTATACATCTAGAATGAGCCTTATTTGTGATCAGCAAGGTAAGCCAACACGATTTGTGGGGCTACAGGGGTCCCCCTTCTTCAAGGCTTGAAAAATTAGAAGATACAAATGTAGACTTGGCTGTGAGAGATCATAGAAAATGCACCAGAGTTCTGATCATCTAGGTAAAGGTATTTAAATCTGATCTCCGGCCTTCCCTTCAGTCTGATTTTTGACCCCCGGTCTTCCCTTCAGTTTTATATCTGACCTCCGGCATTCCCTTCAGTCTTATATCTGACCTCCCGCCTTCCCTTCAGTCTTATATCTGACCTCTGGCCTTCACTTCAGTGTTCCAAAGTGAACCTGCATCAGGTAATTTTGAGAAAAAAAGGGTCACACATGTTGCTGTTATCATTATTATTACAGGTACTTATAGCGCCGACAAGTTACGTAGTGCTGTACATAGTTGCACATTTGCATCAGTCCCTGCCCCTGCCCTCAAGGAGCTTACAATCTAAGGTCCCTATCTCAGATGCATACATGCGAGGGCCAATTTAGACAGGAGGCAATTATCCTTCCAGCATGTCTGTGGGAGGAAACCGGAGTGCCCGGAGAAAACCCTCACAAACACAGAAAGAACATGCAAACCTGTTTTGCAGATAGTGATCTAGCCCAGATTCGAGACCCGGGGACCCCCAGTGCTGCAAGGCAGAAGTGTTACCCGCTACGCCACTGTGCATGTTGCTTAAACCAGTGGCGTCACAAGGGGGGTGCGGCCTGCACCCGGGTGCCACCATTGGAGGGGTGACACCAAAATGACTGACAGTCATTTTGGTGTCACCCCCTATGAAAAGTCAGGCACTCGGTCGCGGACCGAGAGCCCAACAGTGTCAGGAGAGAGGAACGTCCCCTCCTCTCTCTATCGGCTTCCATCACCAAGATGACTGCCCACAGGTGTCAATAAGATGACCGCACATGCACGATGACGTCATCGTGCACGCGCGTGGCAGCATGCGCGATGACTTCACGGCAGGGTGTCACCTGGTCTCCACTCCGGGTGTCACCCAGCCTCGGGACGCTCCTGGCCTAAACCCCACCCATTCAATTTACTAGGTTAGGTTGACAAGAGCTATGCAGTGCAATTGAACTTGATTGTCTCCCAGTGCAGAACCTCCCACTCTCAGCCTGATGCCGTAGCTGCTGTGCATTGGATTGTGACAAGATAATATAAAGACAAATTTCAGCCCCTTATACTAGCAGTTTTTTTTTTTTATGCATTTTTAATGAAGGTATAACTGCACTCGAGGGTGTTTTTTTTTATATTTTAATTTTCTGCATTCATTGTTACTATAAGATGTTTTCATAGCAGAGATACCTCTGTGATAATATATTCTGTTGTATGACTCGCGTCTCATTTGCATCCGTCACTTTCCATTTGGCTAGTGCTGTAATGTGTTAGTGTTTTTTGTGCACGCTTCACAAAGGCTTTAAGATGGCTGCAGACTGAGGAATGTGCTGCTAGGATTTGTGTTGAGTCTCTGACCTGATTTAAGACACTCCTCTGGGACAGGATGATATGATTTATCGGAACATTGCCGCTATAACAGCGGAATGTGGAAATATCATGTGCGTAGTTTGTGTTCTGCCCTTACCGACGTCCCATCATCGCTTGTAGCCATGGACTGTTGCATCTGTCAGGACCACTTTAAGACATTGATGGGTCATAGGGCAGACAACTCATGGCTGGGCCCCCAACCAATCTGTATATTCCCCAAAAAAGCTTCTAATACCAGAGCTAGAGAGAGCTACAGGCCTTCTGGAACTACGAGTCTTATTGTTCGTAATGAGGCTCCGCATAGGTTTCTCTCTCTGTTTCATTCTCTACAGTGCAATGTGTTGGGCAGGAGGTCACCTGAAGCATTGATGTGTTTCATACATTGGTGGTCCAGTCAGGGCCGGATTTACTCTCTCTGCTGCCCCAATGCCAGGTTCCTCAATGCGCCCCCCTGTATGCAGGCTGCATACAAGTGATCTCGGCAACATAGCCAAGATCACTTGTACAAAACAAGTGGCGTCTTCCCCGCTGTACATTTAGCTCTGCTTGCCCAAAGCCGGGCTAAATGTACTGAACAACTACCCACCGGGCACCAAGAACTGCATGTCCCGGGCGTCGGGAGATAGGAATTCCACACCCCTGCTGCTCCTCTACTCCCTGCTGCCCCGAGGCCGGGCCTCGGTTGGCCTTGTGGAAAATCCGGCCCTGGGTCCAGTAACGTTGCTTATGTGTATTTCAATGGTCAATTTTAGCAGACCTCGGTGTCCCTGTAGATGGCCATTTATGTAACACCCGCCGCAGTTGCATACAGAACTGCACTGGAAGAAGGCCGAACTGTGTGCATGTGTCTGGTGGGGTCCCCAGGATTTGAGGTCTGATGATTGAGAGTTGTTACACATTCTTAAACACTGGCCATCAGAATATCAAATAAATGCGTTTCTTGACCTCTTTAGGCTCAGACTGATGGAAGAGAAATGGCTCCAGTTTTGGTGGATCTCCTGGACCACCAGGCTCAGGCAGCTGCCCCTTTGTACCACATAGTTAAAGTTGCCCTGGCAGCTTTGTTGGAAGAGAGTACAGTATGTGTTTTAAATATTTGCACCCATCTCACAGGCTGATGCGTCCTCAGAGTGCACATACTAGGGGCTTAATACATAACTCCTACCTCAAGCAGATTTTACCAGAGTGTATGTCTACTCAAAACTTTTTTCGTTTTGGATAGAGTAAGGAAGAATTATAACCATTGTCATGTCTTTCTTTTTCATTCATTGAAGGATACAGCTTGATCATAAGAACTTGACTGATGGGTTTATATCGCCACCTGCAGGAGTAGGATGCTAGACATAGAGACAATCCCGTGGCCTCTGCTGGTGGCCAAATCCCCCAAATGCAACAGTCAACTCAGTTTTTTTGCCCAGTGCTCCGGAGTTAGGACCTAGTTTTCTGTCCTGCTCTTTTAAGTCTAGGTTTTTATGCATCTCACTGGAGAGATTTCGCTTCATGTCGCGACCTGTAGCAGGGGTGTGGAAATTTTTGAAAAAACTACTTGTCCAAGGACTAAAGCGGGGGCCGAATCTACTTGTCCCAAAACCGTATTTAGCAGTGCTAAGAAGCGCTTCTCCTTGGTCAGTGCCGTCCCAAATTACTTGGGAAAGTGAATATACCCTTTAGGGTTGGTGCAGACTTGGGGATTCCCAGGACGTGCGATCGTGTGTGGTTGCATACAGCGGTTGCATCCGCATGTATGGGGTTACATCTGCGTGGCAATCGCTGAAAAAAAAGTAGATGTACCAATATCACGACATGCACCGTGCAGTGTTTTCAACCGTGATCGTGTGGGACCACCTGGGCTGTATTGCAGCAGGTAAACGCGCAATCTGCCTGGCATGACTGGGGTGCCATTAGAAAATAATGGCACTGACAGCACGATCGGCGATGGTGTGCGATTCCGTGACCACCTAGCCATCCGCTCGGTTTCGTGCACGATGACTGTGCAGTCACTGATTGCACACCACTGCCAATTGTGCTGTCAGTGCCATTATTTTCTAATTGCACCCCAGTCGGCACGATTGCGCGTTTTCCTGCTGCAATAGAGCCCTGCCCGTGCGGTTGCACACGATCGCAGTTGAAAACACTGCACGTTTATTCGCATGCAGATGGGGGCAGCGGGGCTGGTTTTCTTTTTTTTCAATTTTTATTTACTTCATTTGTTTTATTTTTTTTACTTGCTCGCAGCGCCGCTCTCGATGCTCTCGGCGCTCATTTAAGAGAAGAAAATCAGCCCTGCTACTTAGCCGTAGCAGGGCTAAAACAGTGAAAAACGCACTTGCCCGGTGCCCGGAACTACATGTCCTGGGCGTTGGGCGATACGAATTCCACACCCCTGTGTAGATACAACAGGAAGTGAGGGAAGTCTCCTATTAGACAGCTATTAGTTAAAAGTATGTGAAGGTTCTCATTCATCCAGGTCATGGTTTATCTGTAAAAAATAAGTCAAGGCAACTGGAGGAAAAATACAGCAAGTCCAGTTGCCTTGACTTTTATTTTTTACAGATATTAGTCAAAAGGTTTTCGAGCTTATTTAAATGCTGATGAAATCACTTACAATGAATGCTGCTTCTTGGTGTTTAAAAGTTTTAGTTTCCTACAGAATCAGCTGGCCCCCTGATCCAGTTTTAGGGTGGCTCCTTTCCCTTGCAAGACCCTATGGAGCCACCCTTGTGTGTGTTGGTTAGCGGTGTGTGTGTCTCCACAACAGGCGTGGAAAGGCATGGCACTCCTCTGCTACCCCTCATCCCTCCTCCTTTCTCCGTGCTAATAGATGGACAACTGCTAGAGACTGCTCTGTCCCTTGTGATCTTGTACTGGACAGGAAGTTCAGGGAAGCCGAGCTGAGAGAGTTGGCGCCAACTGTATTGAAACATGATGACTGTAAGTGCTTGACCAGGAATTAGAAATGCATTGCTGCGAATGTTTGTGTTTGATCCGGATTCATTAAAAAAAAAAAAAAGAGTTTAATATACTACTTTAATTGTAGCAACAGGTTCACTTTAAAGCAGAACTTCATGTTTGGAGCTGTTACCAGAAAAAAAATGACATTATTTTACATTTTTGCAGCTGGGAGCATCTGTTCTGCATTCTCACTTTTTTTCATTGCCTCTTCCCAGTAAGCAATCTTATTGCTAATGACGGGTGGACGGGTTAGTTCAGAACCCAGGCAAAGATGGGCCCCTAGTAACACAATGAAACTAAATCTGAGAGGCACACAGAAGGGGTGTTTAATGAATGTAATTGCAGACACCTTGGGGTACCTGCTTTAAAGCTGGAATTTTACGGTCAGATGTAAAATTATTATTATTATTACATGGTATTTATATA